TCAGGCTGAAACAGAGATTCAAGTTACAAGCTCTATATTGCAGATACAGAAAAACAGAAAAAGAAAAAAAGCCAAGACTTATTTTTCTTGGTTTTCAGATGCTTTTCAACCTCTATCAAAACACAAGTTATGTTAAGTGGAACCAAGCACACCAGGTAATACAGACAGCTGTGAAGAAAAGATTAGAATACGTATTAACTCCTTACTCCCTCTCTAGAAGACCCCAAATATTTAGATGGCAAAGAATAAGATGGGAAGTTTGAAAAGCCAATTGTCCATAACCAGTAAGTGGAAATAGCTTTCTCTAATAACGTGATCTGTTTCCCTGGGGATCCTATGAGATTGACACATTTTTGATAATCTGTTATCTGATAACTGATTTCCTATTTTAATAAGGTTGCTTTGTTCTATACATTTTTTGCACTCTATCATTCTATTTTATTGTTTCTCGACAGATTTAAAAACAAATAAAACAGGAACAACTTTGTTTCTCTGCAGTTTCAACACAACATCAAAATTCTTTGCTATAATAGGGTATACCCACTGAATTACTCTTCATCCCATTCTATGACAAGACTTAGTGAGTGAAGGTACGGCTGTTGATATGGTCTACCTGGACTTCAGTAAAGCCTTTGACACTGTCCCCCACAACATTCTCGTGGAAAAGCTGGCTGCCCACAGTTTGATGGGCATACACTCCACTGGGTGAGACACTGGCTGGATGGCCAGGCCCAAAGAGCTGTGATCAATGCTGTTAAATCCAGTTGGTCGCCCGTCACAAGTGGTGCCCCCCCAGGGCTTGGTACTGGGGTCACTTCTATTTAACATCATTATAAACTGTCTTGATAAGGGGACTGAGTTCACCCTCAGTAAGTCTGCAGATGAAACCAAGTTGGGAGGGAGTGCTGACCTGTCTGAGGGAAGAAAGGCAATACAGAGGGACCTGGATGGACTGGATTGATGGGCCAAGGTTAACTGTATGAGTTTCAGTAGGGTCAAGTGTCAGGTCCTGCATTTTGGTCAGGCAGCCCTACAGGCTTGGGGAGGAGTGGCTGGAAAGCTGCCTGATGGAAAGGAAAGGAACCTTGGTGGACTGATGGACAGCCAGCTGAATATGAGCCAGCTGAATATGAGCCAGCAGTGTGCCCAGGTGGCCAAGAAGGCCAGTGGCATCCTGGTTTGTATCAGGAATGGTGTGGTGAGTGCCAGTAGGGAAGTAATCCTGCCCCTGTATTCAGCATTGGTGAGGCCTCACCTTCAGTATGTGTTCAGTTTTGGGCACCTCAGTACAGAAAGGACACTGAGGTGCTGGAGCAGGTCCAAAGAAGGGCAACAAGGCTGGTGAAGGGCTTGGAAAATATGCCCTACGAGGAGCAACTGAAGGAACTGGGGTTGTTTAGTCTGGGGAAGAGGAGGAGAGGGGGAGACTTAATTGCTCTCTTCTAATATCTGAAAGGTGCTTACAGGAAGAGCGGGGCTGGTCTCTTCTCACTGGTGACAAGGGAGAAATGACCTTAAGTTGTGCCAGGGGATGTTTAGGTTGGATATCAGGAAAGACTTGCAGAGTCTACATTTGTGGGAAGCATGTTCTTCATATATGCACCAGTTTGACAGAATCATAGAATGGTTTGGGTTGAAAGGGACCTTGAAGATCACGTTGTTCCAACTCCCCTGCTATAGGCAGGGACACCTCCTTCTGGACCAGGCTGCTCACAGCCCCATGCAGCATGGCCTTGAATGCTTCCAGGGAGGGGGAATCCATAACCTCACCAGGCAACAACCTAACCTGTTCCAGTGTCTCACCAGCCTCACAATAAAGAATTTCTTCCTAATATCCAGTCTAATCTATCCTCTTCCCATTTAAAACCACAGCCCCATACGCTGTCACTACCTGCCTAGATAAAAGGTCCCTCTCTGGCTTTTCTGTAGGCCCCTTGCTATAAGGTCTCCTCGGAGCCTTCTCTCAGCCTGTCTTCATAGGGGAGGTGGCCCAGCCTTCTGATCATCTTCGTGGCCCTCCTCTGGATCCACTTCAACTTTTTCACTTGCCTGAGCCACATTTAGTAAAGATGAATTGCCTAGGGCAGCATATACATAAGCTACTCCAGAAGTAATGCCTCCTACTTAGTTGCATGGAAACAATAAACCATACAAAGAGCACAATAGCACTATTTCATAGAGCAAATTCTCAGCTACTAAAATAATATCTTTCGATCATAGTCACTACCATTAGCTATGAATTTTCACCAGCAACAAACAAGACCCTCCATGCTGTGCTCATAACAATCTGCACCAGCTTAGGAGGCCCACTGTTACAGTCACCACTGCAGAAAAACACCACCTCACCGCGCTTACATTCACTGTTTAGTCTCCATAAACACTCAAGCAAGCATCAATGACTACCAAGCACTGCCATTTTTTTTCCCCATGGAGGAATTCAACAACACACCTTTGTTTCACATATACTTCCATGTCAGATACCATTCTGTCAGACTGCCCCTCTGCTGCCATTTGTTGTCACACTGCATCAAAATGTAACAGAGTATCATTGGGAAGGTTCAATCTCTACTGCCATACCACCAATATCCACCTCCAATGTCATAGGCCAACAACCTAAAACAGGAGGCACTACTTTCAGCCCCTATAAAATACACAGTATCATTAACATGTAAGTAAACAAAATTTAATTGTTAGTATTTTTCTTAAAACATGTTTAAAAAAAAGAAACAAAGACTGGTCAGTTATTGACCTTGTTTTTGTGAAACAAATGCATCACCTTGGTTTGATGGCAGCGGTTGAAATTCTTAGTGAGGTCTCAAGGTGTTCATCAGGTTTTTGATAACATTTTACTCTTCTTGTATGTCAACCTTGACAATTTTTCACACGTGTATACTGCCAAAGCAGCGACATGAATAAGATGTGACTGTGAAGGATCTCTCTCTCTGGTAAGAGAGGACTAATAAAAGTCTGGTAAAGAGACAGGGTCAGACTTTTAAGTTAAATATCTGATTGCAACTCTACATATTCCATTTGAATATTTGCAGGTCATGTACTTATATCAACTGAAAATGGTGTCACAAACATAAATTGATGATCTTTACAGCCACTTGAAACCCATTTTCTAATCCCTTCATCACGACAGAAAGCATGGCCACATATTCTTTGCTGCTCAGAGCCTTACATTTAGCCAATGTATCAGCATGCAGGCAGTTATGTGCCATCGCTTGAGTCAGCACTGCCCCCCCTGTGCCCTGCAGTCAGTCGATGCAGCAATAATAGTGCACTGATGTTTGGCTTTTGTGAGCAATGGTTGTGCTAGGACCAGCCCGGGGGAAAGAGCTGCTGCCTTACAGCTTGGAGCAGGGGCAGCCACAGTGACCGACAGGCTGGGCTGCAGGCAGCCTGGTAGCCGTGGGTTGGAGAGCCTATTCCAGAGGGAGGCCTAAACAGCTTTAAAACACATCATTTTACCATATAGTCTAAAGAAAACTTGATTCATTGTTAAAACAGCCACAATAATAAAGAGTAATTCTGAATATAAACAGCTAATCTCTTCTTACAAGCCAGGCCTAAAGTATATAAACACTGTTATGAAGACAGTTAAATAACAACCTCTGAAGCACTGATATTTGGCTTCATTTTAAGAAACACTAACATTTCAAGGAAAATCTTGAAATGCTTCAGCTGCACTTGAGATGACATATATAATCTGCCCATCGATTTATACCTATTTAACAAAGATAAGGCAATGACTCTAAAGACGATGATAATTCCAATTGGTATCAAATCTGGTGTACCTGCAATGGGGTTGTAAAGCTTTCCAACCTTTTTCAGCACATCCAAAGAGTTATCAACAGTAGAACACAAGCGAATGAGTCCTGCTCTTCAAGGTACTCTGACAGACCAGGGTGCTCCTTTATCTTGGTACATGCACTGACTAGCCAAACAGAGCACAAGGATCAGAGCTCTACCTGACAGCAAAAGTCATCTTTCACCTGGCCAGACATCAGCTTTCAAATTTCTTAAAAAAACAAACTCTTTGAAAGATCTACCCTTCTTTAAAATACAGTTGAAATCCACAAGTGAGCTCAAAAAATCACAAGAAACAACTACCTAACAGATGGTATGATTGCTTAAGTGGCATTTCCTTCAGAAATCAGGCCAAAAGAATACTTATTTCAGACCCTCAACCACAGTTGCTGTGGGGAAAAAAGTAAAAAAAAAAAAGTTGTGCTGGTGAAAAAGAAAAGGAATTGCTACAGGAAAAGGTAACTGGAAAATACACTATGTCAATCTATTCAACAGCTTGTAGCACAAGAAATCCATTATTTTCAGTCAATTATAATTCAAAATTTCTTTTCTTGTGTATGCTAACAACAAAACAAGTGAGTTTCCACTGTTTATATCTTGATTAGTGAATAATCTGTAAGTCCAATGTCAAACAATCAAATAATTATTTAAAACAATTCGCTCTCTGTTTAATGAGCAGAATTCATTTTCTAGAAGAAAGAAGTTTATTTCCCTTCAAGAATACATAATCTATTTTCTTTCTCATCATTAGTTTAAAAAAAATTGCTCAATATTTTTAAGAATTAGTAACAAGTAACAGCAGAAAATAAACATATAGTGAGCATAAAATTTCTACACAATACTTATTTCTTTAAAGAAAAATCTTCAAAGAAAAATATACTTCAATTGAGTATCCAGTTTAAAAAAAAAAAAAAAATAAAAAAACCTTAAGGTTTTTAATGTTAGTGCAAATCAATGTGCAAAAAAACATTACCCTTCCATCACAAAAATACATAGATAGATGATGCTGGAGATTTTCCATTTTCTCCCAGATTTCACCTCCAAATTAACAACACAAATTAACAAGAAGCACTGCACGAAAAACAACTAAAAGCCTTCGACAACTGAAGATCTGGAATGACTGAATGCTACGTTCTTTTTTAAAATCATGTTTTCTTTTATAAACACAGAAGTTTAAAATCGGTACTTACTTCAACATGTGTAAGCAGCATTTGTTCAAGGTTTTCGTTTTTCTTCTTGAGATCTGGTGAGATGCTTTTATTTGGCACCTGGAAATGTGTTTTACTGAGATAACCATCACCAAAGTCCTGCATTCAGAACACAAAAAAAATCTGTAACCAAAATGCTAAGTGCTATCACTTTTACAGATAATAAAGCACAATACATAAGCAGAAGCTCCAAGAGTTTTGCCTTTTGTTTGTTTGTTTGTTTGTTTTTGGGGGGTTTTTTTGGTGGTTTGTTTTTTTTTTTTTTCAGAAACCAATGATTGTGCTGCTTCTCAGAATCTTCTCACTGGCAGTTTAATCTGTTCTCAGTGCTAAAAGAAATCAAAGACCCTAAACATGAAAATAAAACTTCGTCCATGATGACTGCTAAAGAATCAGAAGACCGAGCGCTAAGGTTTTGAAGAGACAAATAGCCAATAAAAACTTGCAGTGCATTCATCCCAGTACAAACTTCCAAACTCTTCGTAGTTTGTTTTATTTTAGATCTGTTTACATTCCAACTTTCATAAAGTAAAAAAAACAAAACAAAACAACCTAACAACCTTAAGAATTTGCATGTGTAGAGTCACATCTTGTTCCCTTCTCTTGATCACTTCTGAGGGACAAATGTGAGAGAAAACAGCAATGCTTTACTTTCTCCCAGTTCCTTTTTTATCATTCTGCTTCCCAGACCACATGGCCCACTGTTGTAGAAGGCCCTTTTGCCATTTCAGAGTTGCAGAAGAAACTCTAACAGCCTTCCCTCTTTATTAACTATCTGCACACATACATAAAAACTATTTTTTCAATTCAAAGAATAGAAAAAAAAAAACTGATCACAAACATACCCTCTGAGAGAAAGAAAGAGTGTATGTAACACCAAGAACAGTAGTTGCATGTTAAGAACGTATTTTTCAAAGGAAACAAATAAATTGAGGTTTTATTAGCTGTTTCATTACATTTTATTTTAGACAAATACAGAAAGCACATGTGCAACATCTGATGAAAAAGAATTCTATTCAAAGCAGACTCTCTATCGAATTCATTAATGTAGCATTAGATTGCTCGACAAGGCTGCAAATTTAACCATAATAGGACTCTCCGGTTAATCTATTATTTCTGACACAGTTTGTTTCATGTATTTTGACCTTTAAATCAATGTACATTTTATTCTGATAAATCAGTTCTCTCCTCCCAGTGACACTGAGAGAATATATATAGAATATATGCAGAAATATATACATATATTTATACGTAATATATAATATATACACCTCCAGCACATTATATCTATATGCATACTTTGTTCTTAAGTTTCACACCTTGAATAAAATACTAATGCCTTTACACGTATTTTTGCCTGTGAATTTTTAAGCACAAATGCTATGAGCAATTATCTCACTTCATCAACAGGACAAATCTGCCAAACTTTGCTGGATGTTCTGGTAACCAATTCTGGTAACCAATTACCTCCTAAGCTTGGAAGAACAAAGCATATGGAGGACAACAGAGACGGAAAAACTGAAGCACCTCCTGATGACATAAAAACCACTCCATTCATTCTCAGCACTTTCTCAAGTCTCTCCTTGTGGAGTTTTGTGCGAGTGTCAGTAAGAACAAAGCTGCCTACATTCGTATTTATTGCCCTAAGAGCAGCAAAGAAAGTACTATCACCACCCACAGAGGCGGAATGCCCCAAGGCACAATGATCTTTGCCAGAGAAGATCTGGATACAACTTTAATCTCTTTGAACCAGTTTTTCCAGTGAGGGGAAAGAAGGAGCCAAAGCTATACAGCCTTTGTGATCCATGGTATTTGAATGCCATAAAAAATGTCTACAGATGGCAGGAAACATGGAACTAGAAACCTCTGTGCTTGACAGCTGTACATCAGAAGTCAGTGAAGTGGTGGCTGGAAAGAGGAGCATCCTTCCTGCTGCACCCTGCAGATAGACTTCTGCCCCTGCAAATAAATCAATACTGCAGCAAGGATCCTTATGAATGTGGGAAAAGGAGTACTTTCTACTACAGCTGTCTTGTAAGCATCATAAACAAACATGAACTGATACAGACTTTGATATGGTTACCCAGATTAACCTAACTGATATGAAATAAACTTAAAACGGAAATGAAATGATGGGACAGCTGTCACAGACAAGTCCTAATTATCCATCTCTGGTAACAACTGCTGTTTCTATCCACATTTTAACTCCATCAGGTCCTACAACTGAGGTGCTCTTAGCTTTCTATTTTTTTATAGCTTTCTTTTGAAAGAAAGAAAAAAAAAAAGGATTATAAAAACAACATAGTTTAGAACATTCCACTTTCTGCTGTAAATACAGCTTCTGCTGGGGTCACGTGAGCTCATGCCACAGGAGTCAGCCTGTCAAAAACAATGAGTATTTCATCATCTAAGCTTAATCTCTATCAAAAACACAGGAGACTAAGAGCACAGTACTACAAGTCTGTGTGGTCTTATTGCCATCAGCGGGTCTATTCATGCAAGTATGGAATGAGGAATGGGGTCTGAGCACATTACATTGACAAAACTGAGTGCTTCAAACTTCCTGTATCACAAACACTGTTAAAAAAAAGGCAAAAAGGCAATGAGAAATCTTTATAATGAAAAGCTTCCCTCAGAGATTATATAGTATACATGGAGCATCTCAACAGCAAGCTTTTTGCTATGTTCTGAAACCACAAAGCATTAACTTGGCCGATTAAAAAAAAACACTTTTTTTTTTATATACATGAGAACACAAACCCCTCATTTTGCTATTTCCAGAAAAGATTCATATTTCACAAAAGTTCAAAGATTGACCTGCGTATTGAATTCCCAATAGAGGCTCATGGCATCTTTCTTTGTTGAATAAATCCCTCATAAATACAGCCTTCGACTGAAATCTGAAGTTTCAAATGGCTACCTACAAGAAAGGGTGCATTGTAAAACTTGCCTAATATTTGCACTGTTTTGAAAACTTCTTTAAGTGAATGCATTTAAGGCCAAGAATCAAAATTGTTCAATCCACGACGAAAGGATTACAAATGGTAACCCTTCCACTTGAATACAATAATTTAAATAGAAATTATACCACATGTGTTCTTGTACTTTCTACATTTCAAAACAGTTCAAGCAAAATTTCTCTCCCCAGAATTACTGAAAGAATGGAAAACCAGACATTAAAGCAAAAGACCACCAGTCCACACACACACACACAAAAAAAAAAAAAAAAAAAAAAAAAGAAATTCTGCACAGCAAAGAGAAGAAATACAGAGATAACAACAAGCATCTCAAACCTTCCACTACTGAAAATTGGTCAGAACAGCAAGAGAATGCAAGAAAATCTACGCTGTCCAACAAGCAAAAGAAAAAAAAAGTAAGTGAAAGAGAAACCCTAATGCAGTATGAATCTAATACTAGATGGAAAATATTAGAAACACTCAAAGCATAAAAATCATGTGTTCAAAACATTTCTATTGTTATCAGGCATCAAATACAACTGATGCAGCCACGGGCCGCAAGCAGCAGTGAGACATTAGCATGAATGACTCGGAATTTTCTAACCAGCACACAAGAACTGCCGACGTTCTTTATATCTTTAAACGCTGCGAAAGTTCCAGAGAGCTTGGGAGAAGGCCAGAGTGCAGCCAGGTATCCCTAAAAGTATATACCAGACAACATGCATAGCTATACACTTGTTACCTTGTGACTAACCCAAGCAAAGACTTCAAATGGAATTCAATAAATGCAGGAAACTATTTCCTTTTTTATTTCCTTTGTTTAAGAAAAATAGTCAAAGTAAAGTATATGCCATATTTCCCTATGTAAACCACTGATTTCAAAAGCAGAAATTGAAAGAAATAATATAATCCCAAACTAATCTGACAGACACTGAAGGATGAAAAAAACCAATCATCACAAACACAACTTAAAAAAATGGGAAATCATCATAAAAGAAGATTCTAATGGAGTCCTGTGGGATCAGTCTTAGCCCCGTGCTATTTAGAATTTTGATTAATGACCTAGAAACAATATGTAATTATTTTTTATGAAGTTTGAAGATAACAGGGAAGCAAAAAATAATGAGGACTGACCGCATACTGACCAGTAATAGATTATTTTAGATGCTCTATGCAAATAATTAATTGTTTTTAAATATAAAATACAGTCACACATCTAGAACAAAGACAGCAAGTTGAAGGATTAGATCCTAAGGCACAAAATCTGCATAGATTTATGGATAATTAGCTGAACAGGGAAAATCCTACGTGCCATTTTAGTTTAAAGGGCTAAAGTCACCTAGGAAGGTTTGAACTTCACAGTGATGCAACATCCATCCTCTAGTTCTGACCACGGATGAAGAAGAAAGGATGCTGCTATACTGGAAAGGGCTTGAGGTTCCACAGGAATACCAGAAAAAATGCCAAACAGCCAAAGGGGTCAACTTATTTTATTTAGCCCAGACAAGATTAAGGGATGAATTGATGTGAATCCATAAGTACCCGAACAGGAAGAATTCTGATTAAAGAGAAGCTCTCAGCTTCATAGACAAGGAATAAGTTCATGTGGCTGAAAGCCTGAACTAGGTAGTAGTTTAAAATTAATATTTTCTTCAAATTTCAAGCATAGCCAGACATTGGCTAGCCTCACAATTGTTTCCCCATCCTTGGGAATCTGAAAGTAAAGATAGGAAAATGCCTTAAAAGGTATCAAAACAGATATCACTGACATTTTTCTGTGTCTTTGCTACGTAAGGCCCAGCAGTTGTTTCTAGATCATTAATTGTATTCAATAGATGTCTTTGCCTAAATGCTTAGATGAACTACTTCTGTGCTCTCTTGCTCACAGACAAGCTGTGAAGAAATGTCATTTATTTCACACAATATAAACAATCCTGAAGGATCTTATAGCTCCTAGCATTTGCAAACTACTAAGAGAGGCCAACAAGCTATCTAAAAATGATCACTTGGATTATTTTTACCTTGGTAGTTCTCCACTCCCAGCCATCCCCTATTTGCTGTGAATGTTTAACAAATTCTTCACAGTACTGCTTGAATCTTTCTTCTTCCAAAAAAAAGACCTCTTCAGCAGCCATGCTACAGGACATCTGCAGAGCAAACTAAATGTTAGTACTGACAGACAAACACTAAAAATAACACGTACTGATTTATAGCAGCTGAATAGCAAAAGAACAAAGCAGTGGAGAATTCTTTGTTTCTATTAGACAAAGAATTATTCCAAGTGCAACACTTTAGAGAATCACAAAATGGATGAGGTCAGAAGGCATCTCTGGGGATTGTCCAGTCCAAATCTTATGCCCAAAGCTGTATCAGCTACAGAAGGTTGCCCAGGATCATCTCCAGATGGGTTACGCTTGTCTCCAAGGAAGATGTCACAACCTCTGTTCCACTATTCAATTACTACAGAAGTGACTTTTTTTTTTTTTATGGTTAAATAACAAGAAATGTATATATGTATCAGCATGTTTTTTTCCTGCCTTTCACTGATCAGTACCAGGAATACGCTGGCTCCAACTTATTTATATCTTCCTATCTGGTATTTACATACACACACCGGTAAGATCCTCTTCCGTGCTGAAGAGTCCCACCCCTCCCATGTCTCACACCACACCCTTAGCCATCTTGGCAACCTTCTGCTCAAATCAGGGCAGTACGGCCTTCCTCGTACCGGGGAAACCAGGAGTAGAGAGATGCGGTAAGGGCAGATGCCTCTTCAGCATTACAGACCAGCATGTGTCCACAAGCCTGAACTCACTCGTGGGCTTATTTCACCAGGCCTAGCACCTTCTCCACAGGGAGCCAAATGGCAGAAGGTTAACCTGTGTGGTGGCTGCTGCCGCACAGCCCAGCTGGATCACCACAAACTTGACAGCCCAGGCATGGCTTCAGGATGCTGCAGTGTGAGACGGGCACATTCTCTGCATTCACACCCTTACCCCTGGCTCTCGCAGGGAACAGGGGCACTCTGACAAGCCTGCCAGAGTCTCTTTCTGTTGCCAGAACGGACGAACCATGCACACCCTCTGCAATCCAGCTGCGGGCACCAGGTAGGACCGAGCTGTGCAGACGTACACGCAGGACAGGAACACCTCCACGCACGTTGGAAGTGCAGGCGCCTCGCGCCGCGCTTGCCGCGTTGCAGGTTGCGGTGGCAGCCACACCACCACCCTGCCCGCCTGGGGAACAACATCTGACACTTGAAACTGCCTGATTTCCTGTGGCAGGCCGCCCAAGCCCCCAAGCAGCACAAGTTACCTGGATGCGAAGAGACGGGAAATTTGGAAACGGGCTCCACCTGCGTGCCCACGGTTCCCAAATTTCCCAATCCGGATGAGGCACTGCCCGCCCGCCCCAGCACAGGCAATAAGCAGGGCGCTGCGTTTTAGCGAACGGGCGGGCAGCAGCCACCCCGCGGCCCCACAGCGGCTAACAGAAACGGACGGGAGGCCTGCACAGCGAAGGCAGGCTCGGGACGGGCCGCCTCCCCTCGGGGACGAGCCGCAGACCGATGGCGGCGGAATGCCGGACGGCCCCAGGGCGGGGGCGGGCGCGGGGTGAGAGGAGACCGCGCCCGAACGCGTCGCGCCGCGCTTCACTGCACCCCCCGCCCCCTTCGGCGCGCTGCTCATGCGCACTCGTGGCGGCAGACACCGCTCCGCCCCAGGGAAGCGCGGCGGCTGGGGGATGGACGGTGGCCGACGCGCATGCGCGGTGGGAAAAGACTGTTGTGTTTAGGGAGTGCGGTGGTGGCGGTTCTCAGCGGGGGTTGTGGTGTTTCTCGACGGATTAAATTTGTAACGCAGTACCCCTTGATGTTGTGTAAGGATAACAGCTTTAAAGTAAAAGGGGAAATTTCGGTTAGATGCTAGGTGGAAATGCTAGGCTCGATTGGTGCCCCATCCCTGCTTGGAGCTGGTGGGCTTTAAGCTCCCTCCTAACCCAAGCTATTCTGTGATTTCGCTTTTTTTCTGAGAAGCAGGGCTGAAACCTGAGTCCATCTTCCGTGCTTCAGACGCTGGCTATAGGGAGGAAGCTTCCCCTCCTCAGGCCCCGATTGCCATAGTTGGCAGGAGACAGAGGTGAAGCATTGTGCCCATGTCATCCTCCAGCCCTTCACACTTTGGTGTTTGTTGTTTGGGTGATGTAAGTGGCATCTGTGTATGCATCACAGACTTAAGTACAGTAGGATCATAGAATCATTTGAGTTGGAAGAGATCTTTAAAGGCTATCCAGTCTAACTCCTCTGCAACAAACAGGGGAACTTATAGCTTGACCAGGTGTTCAGATTCCTGTCCAGCCTGACCCTGAGTGTCTCCAGAGATGGAGCACCCACCACCTCACTGGGCAACGTGTGCCAGTGCTTCTCCACCCTTACTGTAAAAACTTCTTTCTTATATCCCATCTAAATTTCCCCTCTTTTAGTTTGAAACCATTTCCCTTTGTCCTGTCACCATAGACCTTGCTAAAGACTCCATCTCCTTCCTTCTTACAAACCCCCCTTAAAATACTGAAGCACCACTCTCAGGTCTTACCAGAGCCTCCTCTTCTCCACAAATACGTTGCAAGTCCCTGGAAGGCTTTCCCTTCCTCTGGCTCTTCTCTCTCTGCCCACTCCTCCCACTGCCCAAACAAGAGGAGTTGTTGGAACTAGATAAATATAGTTCAGTCTGAGCTTCAGCCAGAAGCTCAACAATGCCAGTTTTATTTGAATGTTTCTAATTAATTTTCAAGACTTGGGTTCTGTCTCTGCAATATAAATATATAACAATATGTTATGACTTTCATCTAGTAAAAACAAGTAGGAGAGGAACGTGAAATTGAAGTAGCCAGGTCACCTGAGCATCATCTTATAAGCAACGTTTAAGAGAAAAGTCATGCAAAATGATTATATAGCTTTCTGGAGTGGATCAGAACAGTTGGAAGTGACCTGCAGTGACCATCAAGTTCAACTGCCTGGCCACATGAGGGCTAAAAGAAAGCTAAAGCATGTTGCTGAGGGGATTATCCCAATGCCTCTTAAACACTGACAGCGCCTTTTAGGAACCTTGTGCCAGTGTTTGAGCACCCTCACAATACAGAAATCTGAAGCTCTTAAATTGCTCTTGGTTATGAGTATTTGCTAGGTGCACAAAGCAACTAGTATTTGTCTAGCATTTGCTAGACAGATAGTGTGCATGTAATGTGCTAAATATGTATCTATCTTGCTAGATAAATGCTACAAGGATTATTTTTAAGCTCATGAGTCTATTAGACCAAACATTTTTTGGAAGTAAGGTCTTATCCAGTGTGACTAGACTACCCAAACAGTACTAATTACAGAATTCACAATATTTTGATACACTTAAGTAGAACATGATGTTGACTTTGCCAGCGTATCTGTAAACTACTGTTTTAACGAGTTCTGTGACTGCTGTGGGAGTAAGCAAACTGAGCCATCATGTTTGAAGTCCATGCTATTCAGTACAGAGTTCCATATCCATAGGATGCTGTGCTATGGCTGACTGTAAGGTGACATTTTTCATCTGCACAGTTCCTAATTTGCCTGTAATCCACAGGGTATGGAAATTTCACAAGGAAGGGCCAAAGCTTTTTGCTGGAATATTCTGAGGTAAACCATTTTTCTTTATTCTTAAAAATTCAGTTTTCTAGTTTTTGGCTGTTAGCAGCCTAGTTCTTCAAATATACACCATGATTCATGTTTAAATATAATTTTCACAGCTCTTCCTGAAAAATGTAATGTTCCATGTAAATCCATAATTTTCAACATTAGGTACATAGAAGAAAAGATTTGTTTCACTAAATTATTCTGGAGAATAATTGTGCATATTGTACAGTTGCTTTGAACAGGTTACCATACCTCCACAGATTATTATTTTGACTGCATATATTAATTGAGAAAGCAGTTGTATGGCATGGGTGATGCCATTAAAACTACAAGATGTGATGTTATAGTCATTACTTAATCATTATATGAATTAATTATTTATGTTGTTATTGACTGTTTCCTTTAAATGTTGGTGTTTGGAAATTTGGTACACAAACACCACATTGTCACCCAGCCTTGATTTCTGAAGAGAGATTTTGTATTGTGGAATATATTCTGTATGCCATTTTTGCTAAAAGAAAATGCCTGTGTTATTGAAAAAATGTCACGTAATATGCATTGCCTTGGAAGCTACAGCTCCTGATTTCTAATTTTAGCTTTGTTACTGTCTCTTTGCATTTTCTCAGGCAAGAATCATAGGTTTAAGACATTGTGCATTTAAAAAGTGGCTTCTGGGACCTCAGATTTTACATTGAATTTAGCAGAGGATCTGCCATGGCTGGCAGATTCCAGAAAACTAAGCTGTAGTTTCTATATATTTGGATCCATTCACTTAAACTAAAATTTTGTAAACTAATTTTCAAATACAGACCCTTCAAAGATCAAGGACAGCCAGTAATTAGATACTCACTCAGTAGTCATCATTTCTGAAGGCTATAGGCTTTAGCCATGCTTAAGTTCAAGTATCTCAAACAGACTCTTTTATCTATAGGCCTTAAATTGAACATACACAGTGTTAATTAATTATATATTGTTAAAAGTAAGCACAAACAGTGGGCCTGAATGTCCCCTTTCAATGCTTGTCAACTTCCTCATGACAATCATAACTAACTCGTAAGGGTAGAGAAGTTAAAAATTTAAAACACTTTTAAGTTCAAAAAACTGTTACCATCTGCACACTATTAATAGCAGTATTAGTGAAATAGGATATTATCTCAAAGTACACAGGACACTGCAGGGAGTGGATTCTAATCCTGATTATGGTATAGGTAAATTTAAGGCTAGTAATTTCATTTTCCAATGTCCATTTGTCTTTTTGTCCTTCTTCAAAGTAGATCAGACTCACAGTATATTCTTAGAGTGCCAAGGACCAGTCAGGCAATTTCAGAGAATGGTAGCAAGTGCCTTTCTATCAAAGGATTTGTCATAGTTCTAAAACTACTTGTCAGCAGGCCCCAAATATAACTGTAGAGTCATAGAATGGATTGGGTTGGAAGGGCCTCAAAGATCATGCAGTTCAACACCCTACGCCCCAAAACCACCAGATCGGGTGCTCAGGGCGCCATCCAAAGTGACCTTGAATACCTCCAGGGATGGGGCACCCACAGCCTCACTGACAGCCTGTGCCAGTGCCTCACCACCCTCTCAGTGAAAATTTTCCCCAGACATCAAATCTAAATCTCCCCTCTTTTAGTTTAGAACCTTTCTCCTATGTCCTATCACTGCCTACCTATGTAAAAAATTGATTTCCCTCCTGTTTATCAACTCCCTTTAATTACTGCCACTACCAGCTTTCCCCTGGTACTTCTCTTTGGGCTGAACAAACCCAGTTCTCTCAGCCTGAACATGAAGTTTTCTGTCCCTTCCTTTCCTTCTCCTGCTTGTATTGTGAATTAAATTCCCCATTTTGCTACCTCATCTCTGCCATACAAAAGCGTTAATAGTATTGTTCCTTGTGTCACTACTTAGATATTGATAAAGAGAGGTACAGGTCATCGGGTGATTTTTTACTCTAAATACACAAATATATATATTTACAAAATCATCAAACACTGATAATTTTTGAGAGCAAAATACAGTAATCCAAACAATTTCGTTGGTTGGGATTTTAGAACTAAACTGAATGAAGATCATGGAGAATAATCTTTCATCACCTAGAAGGTGAACAGAGTGATCTCTGAAAGGTCCTTTTCATCTCTTCTTTCTTTTCTTTGGTTTCAGGGAAGACAACTTTATTCAGAACTCACTGATCAGTCAGGAAACTCAGGCAACACTCTGCTAGTAATGCTCTTCAAAGAACAGAGGCAACATTGCATCTCTAGAATTGATAGAATTAACATGATTTACTTTCAATTTTGTAAATCCTTTTTAGTTTGAGTCAGATCTTGAGCAATTCACAGTAATTCTAATGCTATTTCTTCCACTTTGGTTTTTGATTACTCTTGATTTCCAGCGGTGAGCAATGTACCTGGGTTTCAGAGTGGTGCTACAAAGGAATATTGTTAGCTAAGCCAAATAAGAAAGGATGGATTAGCCAAAGCAAAATGGTTTTGAAAATCTCATGAGGCTATTTGACAGCATGTTCAGAAGCAAAATGTCATTTGTATCATAACACATCCTGTCTTCATTTGCTCTACTGGTATGGTTGCAGGAGCAAATGTACCTCATTTGCAATTAAGAAGGATTGCATATACAGGCAACGTCTGCAAAAGTGAAATGTGGAACTTTCTTCCAGTTGAAACTGGTACTAGCAAACATCAAGCATGTTTGATCACTTAATTTAAATCTCTTAATTGTCTACTAGATTAATTGACCTAATAGAGATTCTGCACAAATAATATGTAAGAAGAATTAAAAATATGTTCTTCTGCATTTTTCTGCTTTTTTTGTTTAGGAGACTTCATAGATGAAATTCCCC